ATGCTTTAATTGGTTGAATGGACGACTGGACACTTAGCATATTAGGCTTTTATTATATAGGAGTAGAGCCCTGATGCACAAAATTCGTGCAAGGGGCTCAGCCCCCACCATCGTGGCAGCTGCCTCTGCCATGGCCCCCGCCTGCCGCGGCTTCGTCCAGAAGGTTGTCCGGAAGGATGTCTGGTCTAATTAGCATGTTACACTTTTATTATTATAGATAGCCTAGGTATGCAGTAGGCTATATCATCTAGGTTTGTATAAATACATTGTATGACATTTGCACAATGACAAAATTGCCTAACAACATATTTCTCAGAATGCATTCCCATCATTAAGTACTGCATGACTATAAACTACAAAACCATAGTTTAAAAAAGTCAAAGTGCTAAAGGAACAAAAAGACCTAAATGAACTAATTCCAGGAAATGATGAGCTTTCAATAGGAGAGAAGAGATTCGTGGCTGCTTTCATTCCTGGTGTAACAGCAAGAGGAAGAAGAATCCAATATAGAAAACACTGTACAAGAAACAACCCAAAATTTTAATAGCCACATGTAGACTGGCATAGTAAATAAGAATCTTAAAAAATTCAGGCACAGTGGGAGTTTTAACCCACTCAACAACTCTTTTGCATAGTCATCAGAGAGGGCTCATGATTAGTTAACAACAGCTGGAAGCAAAAGAGAGATGAGCAAACCTTGAGGCAATTGGAGTTTTCCTCCGAAGTGTGGGATCAGGGCAGAGATCTGAAGGAAACACCTTAGAAGTACGCCAAGCCATTATGGCATACAGGGTGACTTCCCCCAAAAGGCCAAAGGAGGAGGTGCAAGGCTGAAAGAGACCTCCCAAGGTACAGAAAGCATAAGGTGGGAATGGAGAGCAAAGAGAACTCCCTAGTGACTTGAAGACCTACCAATCAGGCTAACCACACAGAAAGATCTCCCACAGTTCAGAGAGGTGGAAACACAGTTGTGAAGCTCAGCTGAAAATCTCTGGGTGATCTCTAATGCTCAAACATGCGGCTCTAACAAAGGAAAGTCTTGATCCTACCTCAAAAATTTGAAACTAATAGTAAAATTGAATCAAACTAAAGTTACAACACAGCCCAAACACAAGTCAACTACAGATTACTAGTATACTGACTCAACTCACACTAGCAGCTTAAATAAAGAAGGGCATTTCTTTTTCTGGTGATAAGTATTATTTATTCCAATATTTACTATTCTTTCACAGAGAATGTCTAGTACAGGGGTGGGCAACCCCTGGCACGTGTGCCAAACATGGCACGCCAGTAACTTTTGCTGGCACGTGAAACCCTCTCTTATAATCTTCCATTTACATTTTTTCTTAATATTGACTTTTTTATTTTTCAGATAAATTCAGTGTAGGTGCATCTTAGATAAATAAATAATTTTACATAACAAGTTATCTTAAAGACCATAGACATGGATTGACGAGAGAGGGGAAGAGCAATTTCTATGCCTCTGCCTTAACTCTCCCTGCCTTCCTAGATCCGACCAGTGTTTTGGTTTCATCCACATACGCTTGTGAATCTTTGTTCTCAGTGATGAATTTTGTTAAGTCTCATAATAGGAGTAGCCTGACGGATGAAAGTAGTAGCTCGTGCATATCTCTGAAGGTCACGAAATATAAACCTGATGTAAAATCTCTGTCATCAGTGATGCAGCAGCAAAAGTCCCACTGATAATATCAAACGGAGTCATAAAGTTTTCTGTCGGACTATCAGTGTACATGTATACATTAAAAAATAAATGTATTTTTCATCATCATATACTGTGTTTTTGTCACTCGAATGAATTTTATTATTTCTTCAAGGTTCTTCACATACGTACACCTTAAGAGATATCAAGTAGGCGTAACATGTTCTCAAAAAATTAGGGTTGGCACGCAGAAGAATTTTAAGTCAGAGATTTTGCTGGTTTTGGCACGCACTCACAAAAAGGTTGCCCACCCCTGGTCTAGTATATGATGAAAAAAATTATAAGATACACAAAAAGACAAAAAAAGTGACCCATGATTGAGAGAGGAGAGAATCAATATAAGCTGACACCAAGGTGGCCCAAATACTGGAATTAGACACTGCCTTTAAAGTAACTATGATAAAAATGCTTATGAACCTAGTTTATAAAAGCTGGACAACATGCAGGAAGAACTCAATAATTTCAACAGAGACATGTAGCCATGAAAAAGAACTAAATGGCCTGGCTGGCGTGGCTCAGTGGTTGGGCGTCGACCTATGAACCAGGAGGTCATGGTTCGATTCCTGGTCAGGGCACATGCCCAGGTTGCAGGCTCGATCCGCAGTGTGGGATGTGCAGGAGGCAGCCAATGTTTCCATCTCTCTCTCCCTCTCCCTCCTTCTCTGAAATCAGTAAAAAAATATAAGAAAAAATAAGAACTAAATGGAAATACTGAAAGTGGAAAATAAGATGTCAGAAATAAAGAATTCTCTAGATAGGAATCCTATCTCGTCTATTATAAGTGGACATGGCAATGAAAAATATCAGTGAATTTGCAGACAGGTCAATAGGGTCAATAAAAGATAACCAAATTTTTTAAAAAGAAAGATCTCAAATTAATAATATCCCAAATTAAACCAAAGAGAAAAAAAGAGCAGGGGCAAGGGGACAAGGAGCCCAAGCTCTTGGAACAATTTCAAATGGTATAATGTGCATGAAACAGGAGTCCCAGAAGGAGGAGAGACAAATAAATGTGTAGAAGAAATATTTAATAATTACTAAGTACTTTCTAAAATTGATGAGAGATATACAGCCACCAACTCCAAAAATTCAGCACAGTCCAAAAAGGATAAATACAGAGGAAAGTACATGTAGGCACATTTTAATCAAATCAATAAAGAGCAAAAATAAAGAACAGATAAACAACAACAACAAAAAAAACAGAGAAAAAAAAGACGTATACATGGGAACAAAAACACAAATGAGAGTGAATTTCTCACTAGAAAAACAGAGGCCAAAAGGCATGCTAAAAGGAAAAAAAAAATAACCTGTCAATCCAATGGGTGAGAAAAAAAAACAACAGGCAAAATTAGAAATTACCTTGAAATAAATGAATATAAAATAAAACAAAACTAATGGGATACAGTGATGGCAGTGCTCAAAAGGAATTTTATAGGTATAAATACCTATGAATTTTTTAAAAATAAAGATTTCAAATTAATAACATAATTGTACAAATTAAGATACTAGAGAGAGCCCTAACCGGTTTGGCTCAGTGGATAGAGCGTCGGCCTGCGGACTGTAAGGTCCCAGGTTTGATTCCGGTC